CGGTGATGACCACAAGCGTTTTTACATCAATGGACGGCGTTCGAACACTTGTGTTAAATGGGTTACTACAAACACACGAGGGATGCTAGAAACACATTGGACATTGAATATTTGTTGATGAGGGAAGCGGAGTATTATAATCATGATATTCCTCTCCCAAAGACGCTGTATGCGGCTAGCCCACATGAGAACGAGTAACAGGCATCTAAAACACGCTACCCTCTGGCGGTTGGGGAAGCTTTCGATTGTTGAACGAAGCCATTTCTCTGCAGGTGTGCCCATCAAAGGCCAAGATCATAACGAGGGTATGTGTTGTACGCACCGTCGAATGCTGACCAGAACGGTCTCGATGCTGTTGTCTCGGTTCCATTTGGCGAGGACGGTTAATTTCGACTGTTCTACTTTGCCGTCTGCTTGACTGACGAACGGAAGGTTCACTCGTGAGATGAACTGCACAGTGGGAGGCTCGTCTGGATAAGATATGCCACAGTGGATCTTGAGACTGTAGATGCGGTTCTCGTGCACTGTCTATCGTAGGATCAACATGCGATCGTGTCGTGGGGGTCCAATAAGATGGAAGAGGACAACCGCTCACATGTCCAGGACCGATGATAGTGCCGTTCCAGTTGCTCATCATGATGTCGTCTCCATCTTCTAAGCCGTAAGAACATGATCCATCGCCGATACCCTTTTCGCCCTTCTCAAGCTCCTCAAGGAGTCTGAAATTGCGTGGAACTAGACGTTGACGCTGTCAGCAAGGCCGCAGCGAAGAAAGGAGCGAATCGTACTCTTGGCCATGGTATGAATGGAAGGGAAAGAAAGGGCAAAATGAAATGAAAGGGTACCCCAAGTGCTTGCAACGACAGCCGCTGTGGCAAACCCAATTGGGTGCTCAGGCTGACATGCCCAGATATATCGACGACACCGCCTCCGCAGTCCATCTTGTCGTCGATCACATCGTCGGCATCGACACTAGCACGACGACGCCTAGTGACACCCCTGCATAATGTTCAGAGGTGGCCAGCAAAATCCACTTGACGATCTCGTCAGTAAGTATCTACTCTTGATCCAACTGCGTCGGTTGGTATCTCAAACTGTGGCTTGCACAGCTAAAGCTACGGACGAAAACCTCACGGGAGAGGACTGGGAAACCATTCTCAACTTGTGCGACAAAGTGCAAGATGATGGCGAACAAGGGTACACTGAGTTCTCGTCCTGTTCGGTCCCTCGTCCTGATAGTCCACTCCCACAGTGCACAAAATGCAATCGCAGCCTTGCTGAAACGTCTCGCACACCGCTCTCCCAACGTGCAACTTTATGCACTTTCGCTTGCCGAGGCGCTTTCCAAGAACTGTGGCGTAGTCCTGCACCGCGAGCTCGCCTCGCGTGTATTCACACAGGGACTCGAACGACTCGTTACTGACCGGGTGAGTAGTGCGGTTGTCTGGGCGCACTGCGACGATCTGACACCGATGTTTCATACCCAAGACCACACATGACAAAGTGCGCCAGCGTGCACTTGGCCTTATCGCTATGTGGACTGCAGAGTTCGAGAATGATCCGTCATTGGGTATTATGGAGGAGTGCTATGCCAGTTTAGAAGCTAAGAGTGCGTTTATTGTTTGTCGTCATGCATGTGTTCTACCCTAATCGCGCTCCTTTCCGTTGTCCAGATTACAAATTTGAAACACCGAATGAACCCCCTCCCCCCGCTGTTGACGATGAGGTTCGTCGGCGAGAGGAAGAAGAACTCCAACGTGCTCTGGAAATGTCATTGAATGATCGGGGTGGTCGCAGTGGTTACACTGGTTCTGGTGTCGTATCTAGTGTAGCCGGGCCAAGCACTAGTACAGGCCGGACGTACCCGTCAGGTTATGTCCCAGCAAAGTCACCTCCCGCAGCAGCATCGTCCAATTCTTCTCTCCCTGCACAGACTTCACCTGCACCATCTGCAGCTCCTGCTGCATCAACACCGGTTGTGACGCGCGTCCGCGCACTACATACTTTTGAGGCAACGGAACCTGGGGAGCTTGCTTTCGAACGGGGCGACGTCATCCGTGTGGTTGACCGCGCTTACAGGGACTGGTGGCGTGGGCAGCTGCGCGGACGAACCGGTATCTTCCCAGTGAATTATGTGGTATGTAGATTTCCCTTTGCGCCCCCTACCTGCTGCTGCATGATTGCTGACATTCAATTACCGTATTATAGGAACCTCTCCCCGAGCCTACTGCGGCCGAACTAGCTCGAGAAGCCGAACAAGAAGCCGCGATATTTGCACAAGCTGCAAATGTCGATCGGCTACTCATGTTGTTGCGCGATCTCGATTCTTCAGGTGAGCGACTGGCAGACAACGAGGAGATACAGGTACTATTTACTATTTCTTCCATCCTTTCGTGTGCTGACCAGTTTTATCATGTGATTTGACTGTAACGGTGCATGTCGGCATGGTAATTGCGTTACAACGGTTGATGTGAATGGAATGCTTCTTGATAGGAATTGTATCGGTCATGTATGTCGTTGCGACCCAAGATTGTGAAGTTGATCGACAAGTACAGCCAAAAGCGGGGTAAGTACTTTTGTTTCTTTATACTAGACGTGATTTCAGTGGACATAGTGCTAACAACGATGTTGGACGTTCCACAGCTGATCTAGTTGCAATGAACGAAGCCTTCGTCAAGGCCAGGACCGTGTTTGATCGGATGATGGAGGAAAGTTTGGCTCGACATGCAGCAGGCGAGTACCCCGACGTCCCACTAACCAAGCTCACCAATCTTTCATTGTAGCATACGAAAGTCCTGGGTATGGTTATCCTGCCCCCGTGCGGCACGAGTACGGGCCGCAGCCATACGGACACGGGTACGGACCTAGCCATCCTGAGGTGCCATTTTCTACTCCGCATGAGCTATCGGCCTTCGCCCAACCCTATAGTGGCTACCCCGCTCCTGCGCAGTCGCCATACCCACAACAGCAGATGCCCTACACCCCGGTGCAGACTCCATATAACCAAGGTCAAGTGCCGACTCAGCAGCTCCCCGTCCAAGAACCTTTACAATCGCATGAGACACTGCCACAAGCGCAGGCTCAGCCTCAGCCAACGCAAGCGCAGTCCCAATCAGGGGCGGAGTTTCAGACGCAGACTGGAAGTTCTCCGCAATCTCAGGATGGCCCTCCATATGTCTACAATCCGAATGCCACATACGCCGATCCCAATGTCCAGGCGTGGGCACAGTACTATGCACAGGGTGGTAAAGACCCCGCTGGTGCTGTATACTTCGTCTCTGTGCCCGGGGTGACGGACACCACGGAAGGACCGGCGCCAGCAACAGAGCAAGTACAAGCCGTGCAAGGACGGGAACAATGGGGTGCTCCAGAGCAATATGGACCAACGGCTGGGGTCTCAATGGCGTTGGGGTCTCAACAGCCTACTGGTCCCACAGGCGGTCCGTTGTCGCCGCAGAGCGCCCGCCACGGCTGGCAACCACCACAGCAGTCACCCTATGGCTACGTTCCTCCACAGACGCAACCGCAGTCTCCGCAACAGTATGCACCATCTGCAGGTATAAGCGGTTATGGTTCCTCGCCCAGTAGTGCAAGTGGGCATGCGCCACCTATGAATGGTACAGGTGGCCATCAGTCGCCTCTGCCGGGTGGCGGCTATGGGGGTGGATATGACTATGGAGTAGGAGCGCTTCAGCATCAGTTTGCTGATATGGGTGTTAGTAGGGCAGCACATCAGACACATGCGGCGTCTACTGAAGGATGAGCTAGGTCAACGTATGTTGTGTAGTAGGTGACCTGAATAAAAGGTGTACAGACTCTAGTTTACTTCACTGTTACTTCACTAAATGTATCTCTCTTTGGCCTACTCAGGAGAAACAGGATGCTACTATTTTTTCCAGGCAGGCAATTTATTCAACACATACCTTATCAGCGACTCACTTGGCGGCCGACAAACCCATTGCCGGGAATAATAGAAAGAGCCTTTGTGTGTGACTTGCCATGCAATCAGGGAACTGGATAACCAGCTAAATTAAGGGTTTAAATGATGGTCGATGAGGCGCTGGCAGCTGATACGAGATACGACCGATCGATGTGACCACTTCACTCGGTGTTAAGAGTATTGCTACAACATTTGTTCTGCATTTGGCAGTAAGCCAAATGAATCTGCTTTTCAAAAACCATCATAATCGACATTAGAATCTTCACTGTAGTTGACTTCGCTTTCACTAGATTCTTCATCATCTGCTGATTTGCACCAAGCAATATCATGCTCCAAATGCATATTGATAACGCAGGATAGAGCATCCAGGAGATCCTGCATCGTGAAGTTTGGGAGATAAGAACATCAGAGTGGTGACTAAAGGAATGAATTTGCGTACCATGTATGGAGGTGCTTGAACCAAAAAAAAGTCACCCTCGTTCGCTCTGTGAGCGGGAACTGATCCACCTCGAAGGTACATTTACAGGGTGAGAACGAAAAGTTACACGTTCAAGGTCACCCCAGAGGCCACTCTTCACCTGTGGATCATGGAAAGCCCAGTTAAAGATACCTCGATTTCAAATTGTTGTACGTTGGGGAACACTCCGCACACCGTGACGACGGCGTCCTCAGTCGAAGAGTGGAGACAATGAATCTTGTTGAATGCCGGAAAGGAATCTCACCGAAGGCTAGGGTCGATTCGCGAAAATTGGAACTGAAACTGAAATCGAAATCAAAGTAAGAACTAGGATTGCATTCAACAGCATGTTTGGATTGCTGACGTCGAATGTGAGCGATCTCAGCAATGCTAAGTGAATGGACTGTGGTTCGAGTTGCCAGTGATCCATTTCCCCTGGAGTGTGAGTGCCGTGGCGAAAATATTTGAGGACTAATTGTTCAAGGACAGGGTTGTTGCCTGGCATAGGAAATTCAATGTGAACGCATCAGTCACTTTTGGATATTTACGCATTTGAGACAGGGAAAAGCTAGTCCGCTGAGATAAGCCGGCTCTGCCTTACATCTAAATCATGCAGATGTGGAGGTACGATTTTATTTTTGTCTATAGTGCAGTTGCCTGTTTTGAGTAGTCGACTTGGAATGCGTGGGTGGGCGCTCATTGAAGTGAGGTTGCTTCCCTTGCGCTACCACTGAGCCTGAGCTTTACTGCTAAATTCTTGCGGAAACCTGGTTGCAGCCTCCCTTTCTGTACCATTTCTACGTTATTTCTTCGCAGGCGAAGATCTCACTCAGCGGTTTCGTGCTTGGAATTTGCTACGGGTCCCGGTGAGTGTTTACGTGTGCACCGCCTGGCGAACTCATTATGTAGAAATAGCCGTGCATCTCCTCCAGCGGTTGCAACCAAGCAATGTCAGAATATGACAGGGAGGTCACTCGGTTGCGGGCAGCATTGAATCTTCGTCGCCCGGGAGATCATCATCGGTTTACGGTTATGCGAAACCTTTCTGGTGTCTTGGGGGACAGATATGCTCAATACGGTGCAGCGGCAGACTTAGAGGAGTCAATTGTCCTCGGCCGTGTGGCGCTGGAATTGCAACCGTTGGGACATCCAGAGCGGTCCAACTCACTGGATAATCTCGCAGTTCGCCTCCATAACCGGTTCCAGAGAGAAGGTATCGTTGGTGATTTAGAAGAAGCCATTTCATCTGGACGAGCTGCCTTGGAACTTCGACCGCCAGGGAATAGTGACCGATCCTTTTCTCTTCACAACCTTGCTACGTTTCTTTCGACACGGTATTCGAGAGGGGGTGGAATGGATTATTTGGAGGAGGCAATCACGCTCGGATACTCGGGACTAGAGCTGCACCCACCTGGGCATCCTTTCCGGGCCTTCTCTCTTCTAAGTCAGTCGACTTACCTTCATACACGGTTTAGGGTAGAGGGCAGGATGTCAGACTTAGAGGAAGCGGTTGCACTCGGTCGAGCTGCTTTAGATCTTTGCCCACCTGGCCATTTCTGCCACCCTTCCGCTCTCTGCAATTTCGCATCGATCCTTGATGGTCGGTTTACGAGTTTGGGCGAAATATCAGACTTAGATGCGGCCATTACCCTCTCGCGCACTGGATCGGAAATGACTCCGCCACAGCATCGGTTGCATGCGTTTAACCTTCATATCCTTGCGGGCTGTCTTTGTAGCAGGTTTAAGAAGCTGGGTGAAATAACTGATCTGCATAATGCTAGCGGCCGAGCCCGAGCAGCGTTGGCCTCGACCTTGGAGCAAAGCCCTGACCGGCCGCGTGTTCTCTGTATGCTTTCGCACTGTCTCAGCCAATCGTACAGGGTCCAGGGAGAAGTGGCTGATGCGGAAGGAGAGGAAGCTGTCGCTCTTGGGGAAGCTGCTCTGCAACTCACTCTGCCGGACTGTCCGGAGAGACCACTAGCTCTTTGCACCCTTGCAAAAGCGGTTTGGTATAGATCCGAACAGCGAAGTTCAATGGTTGATTTGGAAAGGGCCATAAAGCTTGTACAAGATGCACTGGAGCTCAGTTCACCGAAGTGTCCTCTGCACCCAGTATACCTTGGTCTGCTCGCAAATTGCTTCTATGACAAATTCCGACAAGAAGGCATTCTAGCCAAATTAGATGAGGCCACGACGCTTTCAAGAACTGCGCTGGAGCTCACCTTGCCAGGTCATCTCTATCGGCCATTCTGTCTCGACACTCTTGTGAGCTGTCATTGGCAGAGTTTCCAACGACGGTCAGTTCTCTCCGACTTGAAGGAGGCAGTTATGCTGCGACAAGCAGTAGTGGAACTCCGCCCAGTGGGACACCCTGACTCTGTTGCACCGCGGAACAGCCTCGCATCGAGCATCCAAGATTGGTTTCAGAAACATGACACAAGCACTGAATTGGATAATGTGATCACACGTGGACGCCTCATCCTGGATCTGTGCCCGCGGGGATATCCGGATCGTACTGTAGCTGTTGAGAGTCTGTCGACTTGTCTTAGGAAGAGGTTCCGCAAGCAAGGCACAATCGGTGATCTTGACGAGGGCATTGCGCTGTGTAAGGAGGCTGCAGAACTGTGCCCATCAGATTGCCCCGCACGTTCCTCCTTACTCCATGAATTGGCGCTCTGCCTCAGTGAAGGGTCCGAAAGACCAAATGCTGCGTTGGAGGAAGCAATCGCTGTTGAGAAGGCTGCACTTGTACTTCGTCCACCCGGGCACCCCAGACGTGCTGAGTCGCTCCAGACTCTGGCACTTTTTCTGAGGAACTGGTGCAGGGATACAAATGGTGATTTAGAAGAGGCAACACTGCATGGCCGAGCGGCATTGGGACTCTGTTCACCGGACCATCCTACTCGGCCTTCCTGCCTTCATACCCTTGCGCTTTGCCTTCGCGACAGGTACCAGAAGCAGAATATGAGTGCCGATATCGATGAGGCCGTCACATTGCTTCGAGCGGCTTTGGAGTTACGTCCCCAAGGACATCCGGATCAACCTTCTACGTTGCATGAACTTGCGGTGTGTCTTAACTGCAGGTTCGAAAAGCAGGGTACTGTGGCCGACTTAGACGACGTCATTGCACTTGAACAATCAGCACTGGATCTTTGCCTTCCAGGATCTCCTGACTATGTGATTTCTCTCTCTTGCCTGGCACGCTTCATCCAAGCAAAGACGAGGAAGCAACGGGTGGGGACGCGTCCGTATTTAGGTCCTCAGGGTGGGCGAACGATCATGGAAGTCGCATTTGAATGTCTCGAAATGATTCCGAAGCGACTCCTGAATGTACGTACCGGCATGCTCTACGACCGGGATGCACAACTATCAAGTTTCGAGAGCAGCTGTCAATATGAAGAACTATTGTCGTCTGCCGCAAGATATGGTTCTTATCAGCAAATTAGCCGCGTTCGTTCAGCGATCCATGCCCACTTCCAGTATGTTATGCTTTCACACATACGGGGTAAAAGCGAGTCGTCGTTGCGTGACATCGAAGGTCACTCTGTTTACAACCTAGCTGGGGGAGATGGTCTGTCAAAGCTCCAAGCATTTTGCACTGTCGTTTCGCAGCGAGGCTACTTGTGGGCGTGGAGCGACACATGTTGTATTGACAGGGACAACGTCATGGAACTACAGGAGACGATCGAGTTGATGTTTTCATGGTACCGGCGGTCCGCTTTGACGTTGGTCTATCTATCAGACGTTGCGGAACCTGGTTCGCTCTGTCGCAGTACTTGGCCAAGGAGAAGTTGGACACTCTTAGAGTTACTGGCGCCCCGCACCGTACTGTTCTACATGAAAGATTGGTCGCCTTACGTGGGCCGCAAGTCGTCTAACCATAAAACGGATTCGACTTTCCTCTATGAACTGGAGAAGGCGACAGGGATAGCATCGCGCTACCTCACTGATTTTCATCCAGGCATCGACGAGGCCCGATTACGGCTGCAGTGGGTGTCGGCGCGTTGCACAACCCTACCTGAGGACACGGCGTACGCGCTGTTTGGAATTTTTGGGCTCCATTTGCCTATACATTATGGAGAATCTGCCGAGATAGCCCTTGGACGTCTCCTGGCAGAAATAATCTCGCAGTCCCGGGACATCTCCATCTTGGATTGGGTTGGAAAGCCTTCATCGTTCCATAGCTGTTTCCCAGCGAGCATCACCTCATATGCGGCGTCCTTCCTGCCACAGCCATTTCTGGAAAAGCCTACATCACGGCTGTTGTTGAAGGTGTGGAAACGCGTGACCAAAAGAGCTGCATGCAAGAAGTATCGTTCTCTGTCCAACTTGACCTTGCCACAATTCTACAATCAGACACTCAAATTACCGTGTGTTGTTCATCGCATAAAACTGGTGAAATTGATGCAAGTGGATTCTCGCACTGCACATTATTCCTACCAGATTCAATTGGCTGGGTTGAAGCCTCTGGAACTTACATTATCGGAAATGCTCAAGGATGGATCTGAGCAGTCGAGGGTAAAGCTCCCATATATTTTAGTTCGTCCTTGGCATTCAAGCTCGTTGGAGGAAAATGATGCAGGCTATGAGCAGTGGCTGGAACAGCTATTCATTGCACTGCTGTTGATGGAACTACCACATAATCAATACAAGAGGATTGCATCTTTTTGCCGCATTGTTGCTTACCCGGTGGATATCTTGGCAGGCGAGGTCACTACTTTGACTGTAGTGTAAGTAGCAGCAGTGGTGAGATAATTGTGCCATTGAGCTGCAGACAAACAGGCCTAACAAGTCTAGCAGTTTTTCCCAGCTTACATGACTATCAGATATTCTTCTAAATTCTGTACTTATGATAGGCTGAATACACTCAGAATTAGGCATCTGCTTGAGCCATTAATTCTCCATAGAAGTTGATTCAGTCCTCTCCATGCAACTCTATTCATCTGTGCCCTCAAAAATTAGCTGGGTGTTATCAGCCACATAATAGGGCCCCTCATGCAGCAGTCCAAACAATTTTTTCAGCTCTTGAGCACTCATGTAAAACTTCTGTAAAATCAAGAATTCTTGGCAAAAGTGTGGATGTCTAGGTGGTGTGTAGCAATAGTCTCTTTGCAAGTACTGTGTTACATTTTGGGCAGATGACCAACTTCTTTGAATGCAGATGTTTTCGATAGGTCAATTCCCATGTCCACCATTTCCCTTTGGAACAATAGCCCCTTCTTTTGAACCCCTAGACTCTCCACAATTGCCCATGCTGATTCTGGGGTGTTGTCAAACCTTCCACAGCAAGCTCCAGCCTCAAGAAGTGACTTCCAGAATCCTTCTTTTAGTTCATTTTCTGCCCAGAGGGCACTTGAGAAATAGGCTTTATCCCACATAGTTGTCACCAGCTGCACTTGATCAATTGCCTCCCTCCCACACATATTGGCTAACACTCTGAGGTTGCCTTCTTCAGTGGCAGTCCTCCTGGCCATTATATAATGGGTGTAGATCACACCTGTAAGCCTCACAGACTTCTGATATCTGTTCAGGCACAAGTTCAGCCTCAGGTTGCTATAGATGAGCTGACTCACATGAAACCTAACTGAATTAATATGTCTTTATACCTGAGGGGTTCAAACCCTGGTGTGTCCATAAAGACAAAGCACTTTCCCTTTCGGATGCGAGCAAAGGCACTGACAGTTCCCTCGCAGGCAACTGCATCTACACTTGATTGTGGTGGTATTCCAATAAGTTTGTTGATGATCTGAACTTGATTCATGAGTGATTGTCTAATGTCAGCACTTTGTTATCAACTCACATTGCTCTTTCCTGAACCTGAGGCACCCAGGACACTGATGAAAAGTAATATTAGTATAGTGGATGTATAAAAGACCAGAAGATGGTACATACACAATTACTGCATCATTGGCCATGAGATCATTGACTGATATCTGTGACAGTCTGCTCTATGTAAGCATTAGTAGATATGTAGCATTTCACAATTAATCAGAACACACCTGTCTGGACAATGGGCCCCTGATGTTAAGGTTAATCTTATCTCGGTAAGGCAGAAAGATTTGTTGAAGCTCGACTGCTGGTGACTTCTGGTTCCAGCTTACTGCTGGGCAGCAGTAAAAGAATCTGGAATAGTTGGGACCAAACTGCTCCATGGTAATGGTTATAGGGCCTGAGGCTTTCCCAACTTCACAGCATGCCAGCATCACAGAGAAGAGCTCTGAAGCACTGGAGCTGGAATCATGTTTCAGGGCTTGCCTGGGTAACCATATTTGAATGCCATGGTTAGTGACAGTGAATGTCTGGAAATGCCCTTCTGCAGACATCAACTTGCGTAGCTCCTTCTTTGGTAAGCATTTTTTAAGAGCACCTATGAAGTCACTGTGAACCATCTGGATTATATTCGAGCAATCCCGAAAGCAGGTAGGGTCGTCTGCCAGGAAACTGCTGGCCCACCCAGTATCCCTTGTCCAGCCCCAGGCAAATATGCTTTGGTCATTGGTCAGCCGAATAACTTCTAACTGCAGACGGAGAAATGCATTTTTTCCCTCCCCATACAACATTGGCATATGCACGCCAAACAACCCCATTAATGAATATGCCCGATCCTCCTCTCGGGTCGTCTTCCGGTCCGCAGCCCACGACATAACTTGCGCTACACTGGGACTGGTCCCGCCCAAACCTTTCTCCAAGACATCAACCGAAATTCGCGTGATGGTATTCAGAGCAGCTGCACAACTTTGTTTGTCGGCAATGAACACCCAGTTCCGGTTGAAAAAATGGACGTTTTCCGGAGCTATCAGTTCCTGGGGCGTCCACCCACGCGAGAACCACTTGGGCCAACCATTGGACTCGGAAAATTTTTTGTCATCGGGTTGAGCAGGAAGTGAAGGAGCATCTATGTCGTGGAGAAGTGCATAGCAGCGATCTGCATTTGCATACCACGCGTACATGGAATTGAGGGCCTCCGACAATTCAGCACTACTTTGCTTGTCAATGCAGCAGGTGTCCACCCAAAGCCATTCCAGGTCATCATGAAGGGCCTGCCGGGAACTCTCTAATATTTTCTTGTACCCGAGGCGCTCCCGTATTTCGTCTAGGGCGGCAGCAGGCATGCTCGTGAGTCCCGCCATCTCCGTATATTGTACCTCTTCCGCAGGTTCTTCCCAGCAATGGGATAATATGGCATACTCTGTCTCTTCAAGCCTGGTGCCACTTATGTCCACGAGAAGCTTTGTCTCCGGGCCAGCTTTCCTTGCGTCAAAGTTGATGAAAGAATTGACGTCGATGAGACGCATAGTATCTAACGGCACATGAATAAATATGTCGCACAACGAACTGATCAACGTACGAGGCAAGAAAATAGACGAGAGATTGGACGGTCTATCCAGTAAAAAGTGTAATCAGAGCCACTCGCGGTGACAGATGGAGGACGGTGTGACGCTAGAAACCTGAGGCCTGAAGGCCTGATATAGATATTTTGATATCTATCACGTAGATGCTGGCAGGGGTATGTACTTTGGGTTGCCTGAGAGGCAGTTTTCGCAATACGAAATACAGAAATCGAAAGACGTTTACATCCTGTAACCACATAGCAAACACGACAGTCACTACTAGCTACACTACAGCCAATACTCTAACCTCGCTTTTCAAAACGGCCGTGGACCCCATGGGGCAAGCAATGATGTGACAAGATGATGCGATTCTCGTATACTCGTTGTGGGATCGTTCTACCAGCAATAGCGCATTGAATGGCCGTTGTAACTGAGAGAGCCATTCATTACTGGTTCCGGACCCAAGCAAGCTTGAACACCAAGGGCGGATCAGAATATACGGCAGTTTTGTCTCCAATCGCTCCGACCCCTCCTGGAGTTTCGCTGGCGATGTAATTTCCAGCGGTGTGAGTCCGACCGCCTGAATTTGGTACAGATAGTACGTAGTAACAGGATCTACCTGCTTCAGTTGGACCAGCTTCACACGGTGAATGAGGCACGGTAAGATAAGCCTGCGAGTGAAGAACCGCGGGAGAGGTAAGTTGGAAAGAGCACGATACATCGAGCGACTACGCGCATGGGTCACGCGCGACCACATCCTCGGCACCAGAGTTTGTGACTCCACTTGGCTCGGAGGTGGGTGGGCGGGCGGCAACATGGCATACGAAGTGATACTTGCAGGGAAACAGCTGTGGAATGATGATGCCTCTCCAACCCAATCTAGGATAGAAATGTCTCCTGACTGCGAAATTATCTCTGCTAGGAGACGCCCAAGGGCGTTCTCCTCAGATTCGCCATAGAGTACAGGTAAATGGACCCCAAAAACTCCGAATAATGAATACGCAACGTCCTCCGGTCGGGTCGTGCGACGCCCTGATGCCCACTGCAGCTGTAGTCGGGCGACAGCCATACCAGGAGAGAAATCGGTGAGATATTGCGATGCTATCCCCGTCGCCTTCTCTAGTTCATCGAGGATAGCTGGATCGGTTTTATGATTAGACGACGTGCGACCCATGTAAGGCGACCAGTCTTCCGTGTAGAACAATATAGTGCGGGCCGCCAATAACTCTACAAGAGTCCAACCTCTCGTCGGCCAAATGCTGTAAGAGAGTGAACCAGATTTGGCAACATCGGAAAGATACACGATCGTCAAAGCTGATTTTCGGTACCATAAAAACACCGACCCAATTGTCGCCTGCATTTCCGTACTAGTTGCCTTGTCAATACAACACGTGTCGCTCCATGCCCACAGGTAACCGTGTTCAAGGGCGGTGACACAAAATGCCTGAAGCTTCGCAAGACCGCCTCCTCCGGTCAAATTATAGATCAGATGACCTTCGATGTCGCGCAATAACGGCTCTCCTGGACCCCACTTGTGTGATAGGGTGACGTACTGGAAGTAGGAGGAGATCACGGAATAGATTTGGGAAATCTGCTCAGGGGTGTCATATCCCTCCAGGGACGACAACAATTCTTTATACTGAAGACTGCTTTCGAAAAGTGATAACTGCTGGTCTCGGTCACAGAGGACACCAGTGCGCACGTTCAGGAGTCGGAAGGGAATAGTTTCAAGAAATTCAAGAACAGCTTTCCTGATTAATTGCCATAAGTGGGAAGAACGCGAAAGCGGTGGCGCTTCTGCATGCGTAGTGGGATTTGTTTTCTTAATTTTTGCTTGGAGAAAGTTTGTGAGGCTGGAGCGAGACGCAGCGTGCTCGGCACATCCTGGGTTTATGAGTTCCAGTGCAGATTGTTCAAGAGAGATGGCCTCGTCCAAGTCGGCCATCAAGCCTTGCTTTTGAAACCTATAGCTAAGGCAAAGCGCGAGTCCATGAAGCGTAGAAGGTCGATCTGGGTGCCCTGAGGGACGAATCTTCAAACCTTCTCGAAACAAGATGATAGCCTCTTCGATGTCATCGACCATATTCTGCCTCTCGTACCTATCGCACAAGCAAAGCGCAAGGGTATGGAGGCACGAAGACCGAGTAGGATGTCCCGGTGGACAAAGCTCCAATGCATGACGCCCAAGCGCAATTGCCTCGCCTAAAACTCCAGCCGCATCTTCGCACTCGTTCTTTGACTTATTCTTGAAGCAAAGCGCGAGCAGTTGAAGAGATTCGCCACGGCCAGGGTGCCCACGCGGACGGAGCTCCAGTGCAACTTTCTCCGCAGCAATTGCCTCCTCCAGATCAGCGTTTGCTAGGGATTTTTGGGACCTTTCAGTCAAACAAAGCGCCAATTCATGAAGTAGCGAGGAGCGTTCAGGATGGTCTGAAGGGCAGAGATGCTCAAGTTCTTGACACAATACAATGCCTTCGTCAAGGTCACTGCTTGAGCCTTGTTTGCGGAACCTCTTCCTAAGACAGGGTGATAGATTCATGACAGCTGCAATGCGATCTGGATGTCCCGGTGGAGACAGGCCCAGCAAAATGCGTCCAAGTGTGACCGCCTTGTCCAGCTCGGTGCTCGTATCCTGCTTCCGAAACCAATCCTGGACGTATGTTGCAAGGTTATTCCGCGAGATAACAGAGGCTGGGTGCCCAGCTGGGCGGAGTTTCACAACTTCTTGACCATGTGTGATTGCTTCCTCCAAGTCTGCAAAAGCAGAGCGTAGCTGAAAATTGTGCCAACAGCAACTGGCAAGGATGTCGAGATAGGATGGCCGATAGGGATGACCTGGAGAGCTGAGATCCAAAGCGGTCCGTGCAAGTGCCGAGGCCTCGCTTAAGTCAGCGACAGCACCTTGCTCTCTAAACCTTTTGTGGAGACATTGTGCCAGAACGCCAAGATACACGGGATGGAGGGGGCGTTTCGGTGAACTGAGCTGCAGCGCAGTTCGAGAAAGCTCCGTGGCTTTCGCGGAATCAGCCATGGAACCTTGCTCTTGAGAGTTGTGGGCAAGCGCTTCTGCGGCAGTGCAGAGGAATAGGGGACGATCAGGATGCCCCGGCTGGCTCAGCTCCAAAGCCATATTACTGAGAGAAATAGCTTCCACTCCGTCCGAAGCGGTTGCCTCTCCGGGTATCCTGGACACTGCACTAAGACAGCGAGAAAGCACGCTAAGGCAATGGGGATAGATAGCACTCTGCTGCAAGGTCAAAGCCAAAGCAGCTCGTGCTAGGCAGATGGCTTCATGCAAGTCAGCCACTTCACCCAGCTTTGTAAACCTGTCATAAAGGCAGACTGCAAGAGTGTAGAGATGGAAGGCCCGCGACGGATGGTACGGGGAAGTAACCTCCAATCCAGTCCGTGAAACGGTAACGGCTTCTTCCAAATCTGATATGTTACCCTCCTTCTCGAACCGATCGTCAAGAATCGATGCGATACCAGAGTGTGTGTGGGGACAGTCTGGATGGCCGGGCGGATAAAGTTTCAAGGCAGCTTTACAGAACGC